GCACTTTGGGAGACTGAGGTGGGTGGATCACCTGAGGTCAGGTGTTCGAGACCAGCCTGGCCAACATGGTGAAACCCCGTCTCTACTAAAAATACAAAAAATTAGTCAGGCATGGTGGTGTATGCCTGTAATCCCAGCTACTTGGGAGATGGAGACAGGAGAATTGCTTGAACCCAGGACATAGAGGTCGCAGTGAACCGAGATCACGTCACTGCACGATCTGTTGCACGCCTGGGCAACAGAGCAAGACTCTGTCTCAAACAAACAAAAAAGCAGGGGACGGTGAGAATATCTGATAGTATGAGACTGAATCTCCAGACACCTACACTTGAATGCACAGATCTCAAGACAGTCACATTTACCAAGTGTTCAAAACAAAAGAAAGTTGGGTGCGGTGGCTCGCAGCTGTAATCACAGGGCTTTGGGAGGCAGAAGCAGGAGGATCACTTGAGCCCAGGATTTCAAGACCAGCATAGAAAACATGGTGAGACCCTATTGCTATATATATATATATATATATATATATATATATATTTTTTTTTTTTTTTTAATTAGCCAGGGGTGTAAGGGCATGTACCCATAGTCCCAGTTACTCAGGAGGCTGAGGTGGGAGGATCCCTTGAGCCCAGGAGTTTGAGGCTTCAGTGAGCTGCAATTGCGCCACTACACTCTAGCCTGGGCAAGAGTCATCCCCTGCCTTGAAAGAAGACCAGAGGAGACTCTGTCTCAAAAAAAAAAAAAAAGGCTGGGTGTGGTGGCTCACGTCTGTATGCCTGTAATGCCAGCACAGGGGGAGGGGGAAAGGCGGGGAGGGAAGAGAAGATAGAAGGAAACAGATACATGGCCATTCAATCTTCAGCTTACTTTTTTTTTTTTTTGAGATGGAGTCTTGCTCTGTCGCCCAGGCTGGAGTGCAGTGGCATGATCTCAGCTCACTGCAAGCTCCACCTCCTGGGTTCACGCCATTCTCCTGCCTCAGCCGCCTGAGTAGCTGAGACTACAGGCGCCCACCACCATGCCCGGCTAATTTTTTGTATTTTTAGTAGAGATGGGGTTTCACCATGTTAGCCAGGATGGTATTCATCTCCTGACCTCATGATCCGCCCGCCTCGGCCCCCCAAAGTGCTGGGATTACAGGCGTGAGCCATCGCACTCGGCTGTGGGAGTTTTATTTAACTCTCCAAAGGGAACAATTTTTCAATCTGAGAAAGAAATGTATAGTGCTAACTATGGCAGAAGCGAAGCAAAGCAAAGACAAATTACTTCAGCATGCTAAAGAAAACTTCAAAAATGAAATCAAGTCCCCTGACTCCAATCACTTTTAATTAAAGATTTTCAGCCATTCTTGAATTTACCTAAAACAAAAGCACTTTTCCAACTGAATAGAAAGAGTACACTGATGGATGTGGCTGATATGATACAGTGGAAGGACAAACTAGAATCAGAAAACCTGAGAACGAGTCCACACGGAGAATCTCCATGAGCTTCTCATGGGACTCTTTTCTAAAACAGTTTAAAATTTCTACTCCAGTCACCTAAATGAGTTGTTGTAAGGCTTAAATGAGACAATAGTGTGTAAGAGCACTTACTAAATCATTTTGTATGGTTTAGGTATTTAGTCTGCCTTGTTTGGTACCAAATTACTACAGTTACTCACGCTAGGTAAGTCAGAATACAATAATGTAAATGAGTTTTTTCATGACATGTACTTGGACTCATAATTTATAATATTTATCTATTTTATTTGTAAAGTAATCCTTGTAAAAGGGCCTTGCTTTCATTCTTCACGATTTAGTAGACCAGACACATTCTTTTTTTCTTTTCTTGTTGTTTTTGTTTTGAGATAGTCTCGCTCCCGTTGCCCAGACTGGAGTACAGTGGTGCAATCTTGGCTTACTACAGCCTCAACTTCCTGGACTCAAGCGATCCTCCCACCTCAAACTCCTCCTGAGTAGCTGGGGCTACAGGCATGCACCACCAGGCCAGGCTAATTTTTGTATTTTTTTGTAGAGACAGGGTTTCACCATGCTGCCCAGGCTGGTCTCGCACTCCTGGGCTCAAGTGATCTGTCTGCCTCAGCCTCCCAAAGCACTGAGATTACAGGTGTGAGCCACTGTGCGGACCCAGACACAACATTAGTAAGAAAAATCAGGGCTGGGCGCGGTGGCTCAAGCCTGTAATCCCAGCACTTTGGGAGGCCGAGACGGGCGGATCACGAGGTCAGGAGATCGAGACCATCCTGGCTAACATGGTGAAACCCCGTCTCTACTAAAAAATACAAAAAAAAATTAGCCGGGCGAGGCGGCGGGCGCCTGTAGTCCCAGCTACTCAGGAGGCTGAGGCAGGAGAATGGCGTGAACCCGGGAGGCGGAGCTTGCAGTGAGCTGAGATCCGGCCACTGCACTCCAGCCTGGGCGACAGAGTAAGACTCCGTCTCAAAAAAAAAAAAAAAAAAAAAAAGAAAAATCAGGAAAAAACAATTAGAGGCCAGGTGCAGTACCTCATGCCTGTAATTCCAGAACTTTGGGGGGCCAAGGCAGGCGGATCACCTGAGGTCAGGAATTCAAGACCAGCCTGGTCAACATGGCAAAACCCCGTCTCTACTAAAAATACAAAAATTAGCCAGGTGGGCCGGGCGCGGTGGCTCAAGCCTGTAATCCCAGCACTTTGGGAGGCCGAGACGGGCGGATCACGAGGTCAGGAGATCGAGACCATCCTGGCTAACACCATGAAACCCCGTCTCTACTAAAAAAAAAATACAAAAAACTAGCCGGGCGAGGTGGCAGGCGCCTGTAGTCCCAGCTACTCGGGAGGCTGAGGCAGGAGAATGGCGTAAACCTGGGAGGTGGAGCTTGCAGTGAGCTGAGATCCAGCCACTGCACTCCGGGCGACAGTGCGAAACTCCGTCTCAAAAAAAAAAAAAAAAAAAAAATTAGCCAGGTGTGGTGGCAGGTGCCTGTAATCCCAGCTACTTGGAAGGCTGAGGCACGAGAATTGCTTGAACACGGGAGGCAGAGGTTGCAGTGAGTCAAGGTCGCGCCACTGCACTCCAACACGGGCAAGAGAGTGAGACTCCGTCTTAAAAAACAAAACAAACAAACAAAACTATTAAACATAAGCTAATTTAACCCTGTACTCATTTTGACCTTAATCTACATATTTACACAAGTGTTTGTAAGTATACATACTTTAAAATACTTGTTAAATGTTACAATTTTTTTTTTGGAGAGTGAGTCTCACTCTGTCACCCAGGCTAGAGTGCAGTGGCACAATCTCAGCTCACTGCAACCTCCGCCTCCTGGGTTCAAGCAGTTCTCTGCCTCAGCCTCCCGAGTAGCTGGGATTACAGGTGCCTGTCACCACGCCCGGTTAATTTTTTTAGTATTTTTAGTAGAGACAGGGTTTCACCATCTCGTCCAGGATGGTCTTGAATGCCTGACCTCGTGATCCGCCCGCCTCGGCCTTTCAAAGTGCTGGGATTACAGGCATGAGTCACCAGGCCCAGTCCTGTTTTTATTTTTTGAGACAGCATCTCACTCTGTCGCCCAAGCTGGAGTATAGTGGCATGGTCCTGGCTCACTGCAAACTCTGCTTCCCAGGCTCAGGTTCAAGAGATCCTCCCACCTTAGCTTTCCAAGTAGCTTGGACTACCAGTATGCACCAACACACCTGGCTAATTTTTTCGTGTGTTTTTTGTAGAGACAGGGCTTCACCATGTTGACCAAGCTGGTCTTGAACTCCTGGGCTCAACTGATCCACCTGCCTCGGCCTCCCAAAGTGCTGGGATTAGAGACATGAGCCATCACACCCAACAAAATGTTACAGTTTTTTGTGAATTAGTTTTACATAGCACAGTCTCATTCAAATATCCCCTCTTTAAAAAAGTTCAAAGACACTATATGGGAAAAAATTATGTTGCAATGAAGTGGAACACAGAGGAAATTATCATCCAATGTATGCATTAAGACATCTCATAGATTATTTTAGACAAAATTAAGCAGATAAACTGGACTTCAAAAATAAAGATCTGCTTTTGGCCAGGCGTGGTAGTTCACGCCTGTAATCCCAGCACTTTGGGAGGCCGAAGCAGGCGGATCACCTGAGGCCAGGAGTTTGAGACCAGCCTGGCCAACATAGCGAAATCACGAATCTACTAAAAACATAAAACTTAGTCAGGCGTGGTAGCATGCACCTGTAATCCCAGATACTCAAGAGGCCAAGGCACGAGAATCACTTGAACCCAGGAGGCAGAGGCTGTAGTGAGCCGAGATCATGCCACTGCACTCCAGCCTGGGTGACAGAGCGAGACCCTGTCTCAAGAAAAAAATAAAGACCTGATTTCACAAGTATGAGCCAGTAGAAAGTCAGACACAGACACATATACTATCATCCTTAGTATTATCTTACTCAAGAATAATAGCTAGCTGTAGGTAAAAGCTCAAATTCTTCACTCCAGGAAAATACCCAGAAGGGATGAAGGTCAGGTAGGAGAGGACCAGAACAACTATACAGCCAATACCTGGCAGAAGATTCAAAATGTAATGAACAACACAGGTGATAATGGGATGAACACAGAGTTGCTCCATTCATGGGCCACTAAAGGTTAAACACTGCCTCTTTCCTATAGCGTAATTGTTTCTTTTTTTTTTTTTGAGACGGAGTCTCGCTCTGCTGCCCAGGCTGGAGTGCAGTGGCCGGATCTCAGCTCAATGCAAGCTCCGCCTCCCGGGTTTACGCCATTCTCTGCCTCAGCCTCCCGAGTAGCTGGGACTACAGGCGCCCGCCACCATGCCCGGCTAGTTTTTTGCATTTTTTAGTAGAGACGGGGTTTCACCATGTTAGCCAGGATGGTCTCGATCTCCCGACCTCGTGATCCGCCCGTCTCGGCCTCCCAAAGTGCTGGGATTACAGGCTTGAGCCACTGCGCCCGGCGTAATTGTTTCTTCACACAAAATAACCACTGTTATGCTATTACTCCATTATTCCTTTTAAATACTTACTATCATCTCCAACAGGACCTGCTGAACACTGTGCTGGAGGGTCCCGTGCCAGATCATTCAATTCCTACAGAAAAAAGAAAGAAAAGAAATATATTCAATGTAAATGTACCTTTTATCCATTATTAAAGTTTATATTGTTACCAATATTCTCTGTCATGCTGGTGAAACTCTTTTAAGAGCATTCCTTCAGAGTAAGAGATGAGTAGATTGGTGAATCTTTAAGGTATTTTGGATTCTCCAATGCAATGTGTATTTTTAAAGTGGGTCATTTTTGCTTTGTTCAGAGCTTAGTAAATAAATACAATGAGGAAGGTAAAACATGTATTATGGGCTGGGAGCAGTGGCTCACACCTGTAATTCCAGCACTTTGGGAGGCTGAGGCGGGCAGATCACTTGAGGTCAAGAGTTCGAGACCAGCCTGGCCAACAAGCCTGTCTCTAGCGAAGATAGAAAAAATTAGCCGGGCATGGTGGTACATGCCTGCAATACCAGCTACTCAGGAGGCTGAGGCAGGAGAATCTCTTGAACCAGGGAGGCGGAGGTTGCAATAAGCCAAGATTGCACTACTGCACTCCAGGCTGGGCGATAGAGTGAGACTCCATTTCCTTTTTTTTTTTTTTTTTGAGACGAAGTCTCGCTTTGTCGCCCAGGCTGGAGTGCAGTGGCCGGATCTCAGCTCACTGCAAGCTCCGCCTCCCAGGTTCACACCATTCTCCTGCCTCAGCCTCCCGAGTAGCTGGGACTACAGGCGTCCGCCACATCGGCCGGCTAGTTTTTTGTATTTTTTAGTAGAGACGGGGTTTCACCGTGTTAGCCAGGATGGTCTCGATCTCCTGACCTCGTGATCCACCCGTCTCGGCCTCCCAAAGTGCTGGGATTACAGGCTTGAGCCACCGCGCCCGGCGAGACTCCATTTCAAACAAACAAACAAAAACAAAAAACATGTATTATGTATTAAAGAGCCATAAAAACCGTTTTTGTTTTTTTTTTTTTGAGAAGGAGTCTCGCTCTGTTGCCCAGGCTGGAGTGCAGTGGCGCGATCTCAGCTCACTGCAAGCTCCGCCTCCCGGGTTCACGCCATTCTCCTGTCTTAGCCTCCCGAGTAGCTGGGACTACAGGCACCTGCCACCATGCCTGGCTAATTTTTTGTATTTTTAGTAGAGACGGGGTTTCACTGTATTAGCCAGGATGATCTGGATCTCCTGACCTCATGATCCACCCACCTCGGCCTCCCAAAGTGCTGGGATTACAGACATGAGCCACCACGCCCAGCCAAAACTGTTTTAATGTAAACATTTCATTTTTCAAAAAAAAATTTAAGGCCAATTTTAGTATCTCAAAACTATTAGGTTACACTTGGGACAACCTTCTAAAGTCATAAATGTTCCAAAATTATATTGGACCATCTGACAAGTTGATACGTTTTCAGTGGAAGTCCACTACCAGGGTTCTAAAAGTAGAAAAAACTTTGAAAGAATATATTTTAGACTGGGCACAGTGGCTCATGCTTGTAATCCCAGCACTTTGTGGGGTCAAGGCGGGAGGATAACCTGACGTCAGGAGTTCGAGACCAGCCTAGCCTGGTGAACATCGTGAAACCCCATTTCTACTAAAAATACAAAAATTAGCCAAGCATAGTGAGTGCATGTCTATAGTCCCAGCTACTTGGGAGGCTACGGCAGGAGAATTGCTAGAACCTGGGAGGTGGAGGTTGCAGTGAGGCAAGATCATGCCACTACACTCCAGCCTGGGGCAACAGAATGAGATTTTGTCTCCAAAAAAAAAAAAAGTATTTTAAAAGGCTGACTGAAGTAATAAAACCACCATCCATAAAGCTTTGTAGCTCCCAGGAGCGATGGCTCACACCTATAATCCCAACACTTTGGGAAGCCAAGGCAGCGCCAATCACTTGAGGCCAGGAGCTTGAGACCAGCCTGGCCAACATAGCGAGACCCTGTCTGTACTAAAAAAATACAAAATTAGCTGGGAGTGGTGGCACACACCTGTAATCCCAGCTACTCGAGAGGCTGAGGCAAAAGAAATGCTTGAACCCAGGAAAGGCAGGTTGCAGTGAGCTGAGATCATGCCACTGCACTCCAGCCTGGGCGACAGAGCGAGACTCCATCTCAAAAAAGAAAAAAAAAAGCTTTTTAGTCAGAGACTCCTCTACCTGTAATAATGTTTTATAATCAGTTACCAGCTTCTCAGCTTTTTAAACATAAAAGTTCAGAAACTTGAGACTTGTTATTGGGTGGGGATGCCTGAAAAATTACAAGGCAGGAAATCATACTATATTCCATTTCCCCTCAGCTTGGTTTTTGAGACAAAAACAAAGTTCTCAAGAAGAACTAGTGTTCGATTATATTTTAAAACTACAACAGTGAAAAGAGAAAAGTCTAAGTTTTTTAAATCCAAAAACCATTTAGACTCTTACGTTGTTTCATCCTCTCTGTAAGTTTGGAGTACAAAGCATAAAGTACAGAGATAAAGTTTGAAAAAGGGCCAGGCGCAGTGGCTCCTGCCTGTAATCCCAGCACTTTGGGAGGCCGAGGCAGGCGAATCATGAGGTCAGAAGATCGAGACCATCCTGGCTAAGACGGTGAAATCCCATATCTACCAAAAATATAAAAAATTAGCCGGGCGTGTTGGCGGGCACCTGTAGTCCCAGTTACTCAGGAGGCTGAGGCAGGAGAATGGCGTGAACCTGGGAGGCGGAGCTTGAGTGAGCCAAGATTGCACCACTGCCCTCCAGCCTGGGCAACAGAGCAAGACTCCATTTCAAAAAAAAAAAAAAAGAAAGTTTGAAAAAAGGAAGGCTCTGGATTGAGATAATGATTAACTTACTCAAATATCTCAATTTTTGGATCTTGTGTCTCTAAAATAGAGATTTTCTGCCCATCTCAAGAAAAAAAGTAATAGTTCCCATTCTCAAATATTACTGACAGCACAGGTTGGTATAACTAAGAACATCTGGCTTTATTTAAGACACTGCTGTAGCAACAGGTTATTAAAATATAACTTGAATTTAACAATTGAACAATTCTGAGGTCCTGCCATGTTCACTAAGTGGAATTTTACTTTTGATTTCACTTTAATCTTTTGCTCCTTTTTTTTTTTTTTTTTTTTTTTTTTTTTTTTGAGACGGAGTCTCGCTCTGTCACCCAGGCTGGAGTGCAGTGGCCGGATCTCAGCTCACTGCAAGCTCCGCCTCCCGGGTTCACGCCATTCTCCTGCCTCAGCCTCCCGAGTAGCTGGGACTACAGGCGCCTGCCACCTCGCCCGGCTAAGTTTTTGTATTTTTAGTAGAGACGGGGTTTCACTGTGTTACCCAGGATGGTCTCGATCTCCTGACCTCGTGATCCGCCCGTCTCGGCCTCCCAAAGTGCTGGGATTACAGGCTTGAGCCACCGCGCCCGGCCACTCCTTTCAAACTGAGTTACTTTTTTCCATGCTGAATGACATCAAGGTTTTTAACTCAAGCGCTACGATTTATCTAAGCAGAATACAAGATCCATCAGTCTGTTTCACAAGCCAGTATAATTTTAAAACCCTAAGCCAAACTTAGACTAATAGACCTTTAAAGCGCTCATTCAACACTTCCTTGGCTGACAGCACTGATACAGCTGAATCTCAAAAGCATACTGCTAAGTGAAAGAAGCCAGATATAAGGCTACATGATGTATGATTCCATTTATATGACATTCTAGAACAGGCAAAACTATAGTGACAGAAAGCAGATCCATGGTTCCAGTGGCTGGAGGGAGTTAGAGGGGGGAATAACTATAAACAGACATGAAGAAAATCTGAGGAATGATAGAAGTGCTCAAAATCATTATTTTAGTAGAGATTGTACAACTATATGCCTATTTGTCAAAACTCAAATTGTACACTAAATTTTATGGTATGTAATACTGTATCTCAAAGTTGTTTATTATTGCTTTTTAAAGGGGAGGTAAGGTCTCACTATGTTGCCCAGGCTGGTCTCTAATGCCTGGACTCAAGCAATCCTTCCTCCTCAGCCTCCCAAAGTGCTGGAATTACAGGTGTGAGCCACAGTACCTCGCCAGTTTTTTATTCTTAAAAGTACATTTGGGCTGGGCACGGTGGCTCACATCTGTAATCCCAGCACTTTGGGAGGCCAAGGCAGGTGGATCACGAGGTCAGGAGCTCGAGACCAGCCTGACCAACCCCATCTCTAAAAAAAAAAAAAATACAAAAATCAGCCAGGTGTGGTGGCACACACCTGTAATCCCAGCTACTGGGGAGGCTGAAGCAGAAGAATCACTTGAACCCAGGAGGAGGAGGTTGCCGTGAGCTGAGATTGTGATACTGCACTCCAGCCTGGGCAACAGAGCGAGACTCCAACACAGACACACACACATTTGGATTCAGAAACAGATCTTTTTAAAAAAAGAAAAAAAGCACATACCTATCCATCTTTACATGTGCATAAAATATCTCCAAAGAATACACAAGAAACGCCAGGCACGGTGGCTCACACCTGTAATCCCAGCACTTTGGGAGGCTGAGGCAGGTGGATCACCTGAGGTCAGGAGTTCGAGACCAGCCTGGCCAACATGCTGAAACCCCGTGTCTACTAAAAATACAAAAATTAGCCGGGCATGGCGGCACACACCTGTAGTCCCAGCTACTCGGGAGGCTGAGCCAGGAGAATTGCCTGAACCCGGGAGGCAGAGGATGCAGTGAGCTGAGATGTCATCGCTGCACTCCAGCCTGGGTGACAGAGTGAGACTCTGTCTCAAAACACACACACACACACACACACACACACACACAAAGAAACTAGTTAATAATTGCCTTTAGGAAGGAAAGCTTAGGGGTGAGAATGGGAACTATATTCCTTTTATACATTTTGAATTTTATAAAAGTGTGTATATTGCCTATTTGAAAAATAAATTACCCTTTAAAATTTTCTTTTTCTCTTTTTTTAACCAAGTGGGTCTGTGCAAGAATTATCCTGACTACAAATGTGGATTAAAATAGCTTTAAAAATTGTCATCATGGCTGGGCACAGTGGCTCACCTGAGGTCAGGAGTTCGAGAC